AAACCAAAACCTCTCGTATTGAATGATCAAGTTTTGAAACCGCTTCATCTTAGAGAACCGTTCCTGGGATCAAAATCAACCGAGTGAGTTCATTACGCCCCCTTTCTTAAATAGGGCGATGTCTGTTTTTCCAAATAAAGTCTAAATATTATTTTTGTTGATTTTTTTTAAATCTATCGTCGGGGACATCCAGAGAGTATGCTGGGTAAATTAGTCTTGAACGGCCGTCCATCTTTGAGAGAAGAATGAGCAGAAGGAGTTCACCCCCAATCTGGACAAAAAGGACCCTGAGCCCCCACACATCAAAGAATAACAGGAGGAACTGTGGAGCAGTCAGGAGGAAGAACAGCTTCAAGGACTGGAGGAGGCTGATACCACCATGTTCCCCTTCACTCCTGTCTCTGTGAAGAGTGAAGATGATGAAGAGAAACCTCAGTCCTCACAGCTTCATCAGAGACAAACTGAACAGATGGAAACAGGAGTTGATGCAGAGGACTGTGGAGGAGCAGAACCAGAGAGGTACTCAGATCCAGAGAGATATTTATAACCAGAGACTGAGGTCAAGATTGAAAACTCTAAACGAAGGACTAAAGAGAGGGATGATGATTGGAAGGAAAAAGCGGGAAGAGAAGATCTGTCAGGTTTAATTTCTCTCAGAAATGATGTGCCCCAGATGGCAGAAAAATTGGAAGCTGACAGGAAACAAGTCTTCTTCTCTGGCTCTGATCAAAACTTTAACAACAATCATCGTCTGACGATCCACGGAAACACTCACATAGGAGATTAACTTTCTTAGACTGACCAGACTACAAGAACTATCATTCAGTCGCAAATTTATTAAAAACTTCAGACCTAAAAGTCTGAGGAAACCACACAGGTGCTCCGAGTGTGGTCAAATATTTAAACAGAAACGGAATCTGATCACACACATGAGAATTCACACAGGAGAGAAACCCTTCAGCTGCCCTGAGTGCAGTAAAAGGTTTCATCAAAAAAGTAGCATGACCACTCACATGTTAGTTCACTCAGAAGAAAGACCCCTCTGCTGCTCTAAGTGCAGTAAAAGATTTAAATATAAGTCTAGTCTGACCCGTCACATGGCACAGCACAGAGGAGAGAAACCCTACAGCTGCTATGAGTGTGATAGAAGATTTAGTCAAAAGACGCATCTGACCAAACACATGTTACGTCATGGAGAGAAACCCTTCAGCTGCTCTGTCTGTGACCAAAGATTCTCTCAGATTAAACTGTTAAAAAAATCACAAGTGTGTTGGAGGGCAGGCTTCAGACCTCCATCAAAACCAAACTGAGGAGAAAAGAGAGGCAGAAACAGGAGCTGATGGAGAGGACTGTGGAGGAGCAGAACAAGAGAGGGACTCAGATCCAGAGACTGAAGAGTCTTCAGAAGCTGAGACTGAAGACAGTGAAGATGATTAGAGGGGCCAGAGAACATGAGTCAGCTTTGATATCTGAGGAATAATGAAGTTTCTATCAGTCATATAAGGTGTAGTACTGCTCTGAGTGTGGTGATACACTCAGCTCCAGTAGAGACACAAACATCCACTCAGAGGAGACAAAATGAAGTTGTGATGTTTGCAGTAAAACATCATCACAAAGCGAAATGTTTGTGACAAAGGTTTAGGATATTTAATTTCACATTTTCTTTTTTCACCCTGAGCCAGCCCGTTCCAGAGGGAGAGGTTACTTTAGCAATCCCACTACATCCGACCTAGTAGTGCCTAAAACAAACCATGTTGTTACCAAGTGGACATATAACGTTTTCTACAGTTATATTTAGATAGATATATATGTTTTACTTAATACTGTTTAATACTTTTCACAAGTACCATTAAATCTGGTAAACCCCCAGATTCTTCACGTGCATAGTAAACAAGAAGAAAGACTTGCTACTCAATGCTGCCAACTAGCGATCAAAACCTAAACCTGCCTGTGGCGGCCCACTTCCAATCTAAAACTAATTTCTGTGACTTAATATCACATGTATAGGAAAACAACACAGAACATGTTCATTTAACATAATAACATTTTATAACTAAGTGGATCAAATATATTAAAATTACTTTTACCACCCGGTTACATTCTCCCCTGCAATGAGCTGACTCAAACGCTCCCTGCGAGGCTTTTTCAAAGAGAGCAGTACCAAAGCTTGTTCTAACAGAGACAGCATTACAAGCTGACCTCAGCAAGTGAAAAGGGTTTGAGTGAGACCCTGCACTTGATCTTTTTGTAACAGCAGGCGTAGACGAATAGTTTTCACCTCCTGCTCTGTCATCAACGTTTGTTAGTGGATGCAGATCCCCGTTTGTGGAGCTTTGAAAGTTACTGGCACTAACGTGTGGACGCACACCACGCTGTCCACATAACTTCTGTTCAACTGGTCAATCATCCTGTTCAGGTGATTGACCAGTAGACTGTCCCTATAACCTTGAAGGCGTCACAAAGACTCTGTAGAATCATACATTTCTTTTATCCTCAATAATTGGCTGTAAGGCACACTTCTTTTGAATGCAGGTGAGTGATAGCTGCTAAACTGTAAAAACAGATTTCTATCTGTTTGTTTTTTTGTATACTTCAGTGTGTAAAGAAGTTCCCACCTTATTCACCAAAATCAGATTTTGTAATTCTACAGAGTCTTTTGAAACACATGCTGGGAGTCTTTGTGATGCCTTCAGGGTCAGAGGTTATAGGGGCAGTCTACTGTTCAATCACCTGAACAGGATTAGGCAGGTTCAGCGATCAGACTTACTTAAATCAAGCTCTAGAAGCACCCCTTCTGAGGCAGTATCATTTGTTTCCACATATCGTCCTATCTCCCAGACTGTTAAGAACATACTGAATACACATTGGTACATATCAGTGATTCTCACATTGCAGTTGCTTTTAAAACTTATCCGAGGTACTTTTATAAAAGGTCTTCTAACTTAAGGCTCTCTTAGTCAAGTCAACATTTTCTTTCTCATATCCCTAGTGGTTCATTGTTATGCTATGATCAGAGGTAATCATTTCACTCATCCAAATTTAAGACTAGACATTAAAGGTCGTTTTTAGTGAAGTGATCACAGCGGGTCTTTACTGACTTTAGGACTCGAAATTGAGTACTTCCTGTTTTGAGTTCTTGTTTGTGATTTGTGATTGTTTGATCACACCTGTGGATGTTTGAAACATTTCCTGTTCACACGCTGAAAAAGAGCGTCAGCTCGAATCGTTCGTGTGGCAATTAAAATATAAAAATTGGAGTGCTGCCCTTATCGTTTTTCTTGTTCAAATATTTTTGGGGATTCAGCAGCCAGTTGTTTTTTGTTGAAAGTGAGTTGAGCGTGTTTGTTGTCTATAATATGATTCATTACACCATTGAATCACCATTTTACTGTACAGGGGTGTAACATTTGAAGTTCTTCTGATGGATTTCATCTTAATGAAAATAGATTTTAGCTTTAATACCATTCCTTTAGTGTTTACCTGCAGTATTATAATTACTTTAATTGATTAATTACAGTGCCCCTGTAACACTGACCTTGGTCCCCCCTCCAAAAGGAAGTGCCCCCCTAATAATACATACACAGTATTTGACTCAACAACCGGAATCACAATCTAATGTGATATTAACTGAAACAAATATAAATCATGGTATTTTATGATGTGGTGTTTAATGATGTGCGCTATTATTTGGCATAATATATTTTTAAAGCAATCATCTTTGTCTATTTTTCACCTGGGTTTAATGTTCCCCTCTGACAAAACAACTGGCCCCAGTTTGGCCCCCTCAGTGAAAGTGGTCTAGAACCGCCACTGATAAGTACCATTCTTATGAGAACACGAGTGCTGATTTGAATGAGGATCAGGATTCCTTCGGCTCAGTTTTGTCGTGGCCTCTCAACCGGAAGGTCGAGGGTTTGATCCCCAGCTGGGCAACATGTCTGATGTGTCCTTGGGCAAGACACTCAACCCTGAATTGCTCCCGCTGCTTCAATGGTGGTGTATGAATGGGATTAGTTACTTCTGATGGATGATACTACATAGCGATCACTACCATCAGTGTGTGAAAGTGTATGAATGGGTGGGTGTGACATGTGGTGTAAAAGAGCTTTGAGTAGTCAGAAGACTAGAAAATATAAGCTCAAGTCCATTTACCATTTACAAGGGAGTTTTGGATAAGACCAAGAAGAGGAAAGACTAAATATTTTATAACTTACATTCTATAGGTTCAGAAAGGTCAGGGTAGTCTTGGCTGAATGAATGATAAGTTCCAGTCTTTAAATATTGAATTGATTTCTGGGTATATAAATGATAACAAAGATATCTGAGGGCACTTTTCATAAAGAACAGGTCAAGAGCACAGGGCTGAAATCCATCTTTATTTACATGACAAAAAAAGTGTGATTTAGTTATCAGTACTCAGGTTTTGTGTTTATAAAGATGTTTGGGCGAGTAACTGAAGTATGTAAAATACAAATAAAAAGAGTGCATGAAATAGAAAATGTACGTGGGCTATAATAAATAAAATATTTGTGTCACCTACCAAGCTCCGTAGGATAAAAGGTGAGATGACACTTAACAGTCATTAAATGTTCACAAGCCTTTAATCATTTGAAATCTTGAGATATGTTTCATTATTTCAAAGATTAAGACTGTTACATCAGTAGTGTGGCATTACATCAGTAGTGTGGCGTTTGATATGTAGATATATCTTATTTAATTGGTTTACCAATTATTCAATGATTTCTAGACCCAATTTCATAAAGACATTTTAATAGAAAGGACAAAATGTTTGTTTTTTAGACTCACACTAAGTGAATTAAGGTCTCAGAGAGTCGGAGTGAGATACACCTTTTACATTTATGTGACCAATGAGCAGAAATATTGGGTATGTAAAAGCTGTTGTATTCTTTTACATCCAGAGGGGGGCGGTAATGCAGCGTCTTGATGCCAACCACCTTTCAAACTTTCCAAAGCAGAAGTGACGTAGAGTTTCAGTTTCCGGCTCTCTCACAGTTAGCATGTGTCTGTGCTAACGTTTTAGGCTATCAGAGTAAGCTTAGGAAAGACATCAGAGTTGAGTTGAGTTCTCCTTCCATGACTCCTGGGTGAATTCACCTATTACGCTGAATGCTAACCGCCGTTAAAAACCAAAGAAGAAGAAGAAGAAGACTCGTCTGTGTGTAAAATGTCCGGGTGTCAACACCCGACAGGACAAACAACAACATGTGGATACGACAAAGAAAAGTGCTGGATGTGATTTTAACACCTGAAATCAAGCTGCAGAGAGCAGGTAGGTTTTCTTTCCACTGCTGGAAACGTGTTTCCTGCTCATAGCCTTTAGGTAATGATCATTGGCGCACACAGCACAGTGGGTGCGTTTGAATTGTCATTTTTGTTTAGGAAGGTTCCTAACTGAGTGAAATGAAGCATTTAAGTGGCGGCCATGATAAGAGCCGTTCGAATTCTCTAAAAGCTAAGGAAAGGTGGGTCAGTGCTTCCTTTATAACCTCCTTTAGCATAGGATACACTGGACCATCCTTAACCAAAGGAAATGAGATATACCGCCCCACAATTCCTTGCGGCCGCAACATTTAAAGCGAGTCGCGCATCCGACCGTTCACGAACATTAACGATGATCATAAAGTGACACAGATCATGTAATGGATAACAAGATAAAATACATTTTTAGCCAGATTGTGTTTTAAGGATGCGATGTGCAGTTGTACATTTGTATGCTTAATATATATATATATATGTGTGTTATATACATTGTTATACAAGGTTTTATATATGGTTATATAAGGTTATATACATGGTTATATACATGGTTATATAAGGTTATATATGTATGGTTATATAAGGTTATATACATGGTTATATATATGGTTATATAAGGTTATATATAGACGCACACAGCACAGTGTTAGCTGCAGCTAGCTCCTGCTAACAACATCATTGACTTTACTCTTTAGTGGATGTTGTGGAAGGATTATAATCATATGTCTGATGGAGTTTCACATTATCAGTGCTGAAGTGCATTAACTTGATACAAACCTCAGTGTATCTCCTCCCAGTACTCTGAGGTAGACTGGCAGAGTTAAAGGAGGTGTGCTGAGGTAGACTGGCAGAGTTAAAGGAGGTGCACTGAGGTAGACTGGCAGAGTTAAAGGAGGTGCACTGAGGTAGACTGGCAGAGTTAAAGGAGGTGCGCTGAGGTAGACTGGCAGAGTTAATGGAGGTACACTGAGGTAGACTGGCAGAGTTAATGGAGGTACACTGAGGTAGACTGGCAGAGTTAAAGGAGGTGCGCTGAGGTAGACTGGCAGAGTTAATGGAGGTACACTGAGGTAGACTGGCAGAGTTAAAGGAGGTGTGCTGAGGTAGACTGGCAGAGTTAAAGGAGGTGTGCTAAGGATCGCGAGACTACAAACCCAGCATCCCAGCGCCCTCGTACTGATCAGCGGGGACTTTAATCATGTCTCTCTCTCCCCTGTCCTGACGAACTTCAAACAATTTGTGGACTGTGCTACAAGAGGGAATAAAACCCTGGACCTCCTGTATGCCAACGTGAAGGGAGCATGCATTCTTCCCTCCCCCCTCTTGGGGAATCAGACCACAACCTCATCCACCTTGAGAACACCTACAGGCCCCTGGTGAAGCAGCAGGGGGCCAACACAAGGACTTTGAAGGTTTGGTCTAAGGATACAGAGGAGGCGCTGCAGGAGTGCTTCAAGGCACGGTCACACTGGCCATCCGTACCGTGCCCAAGCACGCTTCAACGCTAAAGTCCAGTTCTTTTTTGTCCAGTGTGACCGCTCCGTATCGTGCTCAGGCACGGTACACTTCCTTGGCTTTGGCACACTTCGGAGAGGTGTGCTTCAGCACGGTACACTTCATGCACGAGCACAAGCACGCGGGTAAACAACGCTGACAGCCTTCATTATGGAGAAATCCAGAGTTTCATGGCTGTATCTGACTAAAATGACACAATATAAGACACAAAGTAGCTGTCATGCTCGGTGTTGTTCTCCAATGTGCGGCCGTCCGCGCATGCGAGTCCGTGTGTGAGTCCGCGCGGACGCCCGCACATCGGAGAACAATTCATTTATTTATTGCTGTGTCTGATTAAAATGGCTTAAAATAAGCTGTAAAGTCAGAAAAGTATCTGTCATGTTCTGTGTTTTTCTCTGATGTGCAGACGCGGACTCGACTGCGCGTCTCTTTCTCTTTCTCTCTCTCTCTCTCTCTCTCTCTCTCTCTCGTCCGCCTGTTTGTAAACTGAGCACGCTTCACAATAACATAAAGCGTGCATGTGTTGTATTACAATGTTATGTACAAGAGGTAATCGTAGTCCTGTGTAGTGTGACTGTGTAGCCGGCCAGCGGGGGAATGGCGCTGCGGGGGGCAATCATGCTTGGGTACAGCACGGTACAGATGGCCAGTGTGACCGCGCCCTCAATGTCACAGACTGGGAACTGTTTAAGGAGGAATATGGTGATGACATTGAAGGCCTCTCTCACTGTATTACAGACTACATCCGTTTCTGTGAGGACACCATAGTCCCTACCAAAAAGGTCCGCTGCTTCTCAAATAACAAACCATGGATCAATAAAGACATTAAAGCTCTCCTCAACAGAAAGAAGAGGGCCTTCATGACTAGGGATCGTGAGGAGCTCAAGGCTGTCCAAAAGGAGTTAAAGAAGAAGCTGAGAGAGGCCAAGAACAACTACAAGGACAGGATTGAGGCCAAGATGGGACAGAACAACTCAAAGGAGGTGTGGAATGGCATGAAGCAGATGACGGGCTGCAGCAGGCCGGAACCCAGAATTAAAGGAGACCCAGTATTTTCTGCTGAGTTGAACCTATTTTTCAATAGGTTTGACACATCCCCCGACCCAGTGAGCTCAAATAGTGGGTCTAGGTCTCCCCCCACCACCTCAGCCCCCATTCACATCTCTGCTGGAGACTCTGCTCTTCCTCCCATCAAGGTCCTGACCACCTCCCCCCCCCTCTCTCTGCTCCTCACCAGCAGCTTCAAAGGACAGCCCCCCTTCACCCCCCCAGCTCCCTCCCTTCAGGTACCTGCATGACAATAGACAGTTATCCACACCCCTACCCCGCTCACTGTTCCACTCTCACTCTCACTACCAGCCAGGTACAAAGAGAACTCTCCAGACTCAACATCAGAAAAGCCAGTGGACCAGACAACATCAGTCCCAGGATCTTCAAGGTGTGTGCTGGGCAGCTTGCAGGAGTCTTTTTAGCACCTCTTCAACCTCTCCCTGAGGCTGATGAAGGTGCCTGACCTGTTGAAGACCTCCTGCATCGTCACAGTTCCAAAGAAAGGTCGCCCCAGCGCTCTCAATGATTACAGACCTGTGGCACTCACGTCACATGTCATGAAGACATTTGAGAGGCTGGTTCTCCAGCACCTGAGGCGCCTGCTCACTGCTTTCCAGGATCCGTTGCAGTTTGCATATCAGAGGCACATTGGTGTGGAGGATGCTATCATCTTCCTGACCCACAAAGCCCTGTCACACCTGGAGACGCAGGGAAGCACTGTGAGAGTCATGTTCTTCGACTTCTCCAGTGCTTTCAATACCATCCAGCCCTGCCTCCTGAGGGACAAACTGCTGGATATGCAGCTGCACCCTGACACCACAGCTTGGATTTTTCACTACCTCACGGGCCGGCCACAGTATGTCAGAGTCGACGGCTGTGTCTCTGATGTAGTGACGGGCAACACAGGAGTACCTCAAGGATCTGTTCTGGCACCTTTTCTCTTCACTCTCTTCACATCAGACTTCAGGTTTAACTCTGGTTCCTGCCACCTCCAAAAGTTTTCCGACGACTCCTCCATTGTTGGGTGCATCACTGATGACGACGAGAAGGAGTACAGAGGACTGTTAGAGAGCTTCGTCACATGGTGCGAAAAAAAACACCTGAAGCTCAACATCAGCAAAACAAATGAGGTGGTAGTGGACTACCGGAAGAAGAAGAGGCCCCCTGCCCCAGTCATCATCCTGGGGGAGGAAGTGGAGAGGGTGGACTCATACAAGTACCTTGGGGTCCAACTGGACTGGTCTCACAACCCTGACGCCCTCTTCAGGAAGGGACAGAGCAGGATGTTCTTCCTGAGGAGTCTCAGATATAAGGTTATATACATGGTTATATATGATTATATAAGGTTATATACATGGTTATGTACATGGTTATATACATGGTTATATATATGGTTATATAAGGTTATATACATGGTTATATATAAGGTTATATATATGGTTATATAAGGTTATATACATGGTTATATATATGGTTATATAAGGTTATATATATGGTTATATATATGGTTATATACATGGTTATATATATGGTTATATAAGGTTATATATAGACGCACACAGCACAGTGTTAGCCGCAGCTAGCTTCTGCTAACAACATCCTTGACTTTACTTAAAGACTCTTTAGTGGATGTTGTGGAAGGATTATAATAATATGTCTGATGGAGTTTCACATTATCAGTGCTGAAGTGCATTAACTTGATACAAACCTCAGTGTACCTCCTCCCAGTACACTGAGGTAGACTGGCAGAGTTAAAGGAGGTGTGCTGAGGTAGACTGGCAGAGTTAAAGGAGGTGTGCTGACGTACACTGGCAGAGTTAAAGGAGGTACACTGGCAGAGTTAATGGAGGTACACTGACGTACCCTGGCAGAGTTTAAAAAGTCAGTAAAAAAGGCTCCGGAAACAACACAGCCAGCGGGACTAAAGCTTCTCACTTGTAAAAGACAGTCATGACTCAGAGACATTTACAGAGGCTATACTTGATTTCTGCTTTATTTATGTGTCAGATTTAACATCGTCCCCCTTTTAAGACATAAATTAATTTAAACACTTTTGTAAAGCAAATCAATTCAACTAATATCATACATTGATATTCAATTGTAAAAAATATGAAATAATGTTTTCAATTCATGCAGAAATCCCTGCATATCTTCTCTGGTTGTTGTAGGTAAACAGGTGTGATCCATTGTTAATCTTTTAAAGAGATGTGTGCAGCAGACAAAAGTAATAAGTGATGAAGACAGATTCTTTATTTCTTCTACCATCCTATTTGCTTTAATGTTTCGTGCAGGTTTTTTTTTAACATGCTTGATTTTTTTGTGTCCATCAGGTGTTGGTGAGTAAAGAAGAGCTTCCCCTGAGCAGGAGTGGAGCCCCAGTCTGGATCAGGAGGACACTGAGTCCCCACACATCAAATAAGAACAGGAGGAAGAACAGCTTCAAGGACTGGAGGAGGCTGATACCACCATGTTCCCCTTCACTCCTGTCTCTGTGAAGAGTGAAGATGATGAAGAGAAACCTCAGTCCTCACAGCTTCATCAGAGACAAATTGAACAGATGGAAACTGGAGTTGATGTAGAGGACTGTGGAGGAGCAGAACCAGAGAGAGACTCACATCCAGAGAGACGTTTACAACCAGAGATTGAGGTCAAGATTGAAGAATCTTCTGAAGCTGAGACTGAAGACAGTGATGATTGGAGGGAGACCAGAGGGAATCAATCAGGTTTAAATTATGTGGGGAAATTTAAAAACACAACTGGTAAGATTTCACACAGCTGCTCAGATTGTGGTAAAACATTTAAAAAGAAACTGAATCTGACCAGGCACATTAGAATTCACACAGGAGAGAAACCCTTCAGCTGCTCTGAGTGCAGTAGAAGATTTAACCAAAAATCTTCTCTAAACAAACACAAGAGAATTCACACAGGAGAGAAACCCTTCAGCTGCTCTGTTTGCGGTTCCAGATTTAATCAAAAAGGGCATCTGTCTAGACACATGTTGGTTCACACGAAAGAGAAACCCTACAGCTGCTCTGAGTGTGATAAAAGATATAACCATAAGCAAACTCTGACAATTCACATGGCACGTCACATAGTTGAAAAACCTTCTAGCTGCTTTATTTTTGACAAAAGATTTTCTTTGTCTTATCAGTTAGAAGAAACATTTGGAGGTCAGGCTTCAGGGCTTGATCAAAACCAAACTGAGGAGAAAAGAGAGGCAGAAATGGGAGCTGTTGGAGAGGACTATGGAGGAGCAGAACCAGTCATGATGTTCGATCCAGATTTACAACCAGAGATTGAGTTTAAAACTGAAGACCCTTCAGAAGGGGAGACTGAAGACAGGGATTATTTGAAGGATACAACAGGACATCCGTCAGGTTTAACCTCTGTGGAAAACATTACAAATAAAAGACCAAAGACTGATGAAAAGTCACATACCTGTTCTGAGTGTGGTAAAACATTTAAAATTAAACAGCACCTGAAACAACACATTAGAATTCACACAGGAGAGAAACCTTTCTTCTGCTCTGTTTGCAGTAAAAGATTTAACCATAAATCTAATCTGACACGTCACATGGCACATCACAGAGAGAAATCATACAGCTGCTCTCTTTGCAGTAGAAGATTTAATGCAAATGGTATTCTGAAGAAACACATGTTAGTTCACACAGGAGAGAAACCCTTCAGCTGCTCTGTTTGCAGTTCCAGATTTAATCAAAAAGGGCATCTGTCAAGGCACATGTTGGTTCACACGAAAGAGAAACCCTACAGCTGCTCTGTTTGCAATAAAACATTTAACCACAAGTCTAGTTTGACACTTCACATGGCACATCACAGAGGAGGGAAACCCTTTAGCTGCTCTGTTTGTCACCGTACATTCTCTTGGCATCCACAGTTAAAAAGGCACAAGTGTGTTGGAGGGCAGGCTGAAGAGCTTCATCAAAATCAAACTGCAGAGAAAAGAGAGGCACAAACAGGAGCTGATGGAGAGGACTGTGGAGGAGCAGAACCAGAGAGGGACTCAGATCCAGAGAGACGTTTACAACTAGAGACTGAGGTCAAGACTGAAGAATCTTCTGAAACTGAGACTGAAGACAGTGATGATTGGCAAGAGACAACGGAATATAATTCAGGTTTAAACTCTGTGAAAAACATAGAAAAGGGACTGAAGACTAATAAGAAATCACACACTTGTTCTGAGTGTGGTAAAACATTCAAACAGAAACCAAATCTGACTAGACACATGAAAGTCCACACGGGAGAAAAACCCTTCAGCTGCTCTGAGTGCAGTAAAAGTTTTAATCAAAGATCTGCTCTGATCAAACACATTATAATTCACTCAGACGAGAGCCCCTTCGGCTGTTCAAAGTGCAATAAAAGATTTAATGATAAAGGAAATCTGACAAGACACATGAGAATTCACAGAGGAGAAAAACCCTTCAGCTGCCCGGATTGTGGGAAAAGATTTAACCTGAAGCAGAATCTAAAAGTCCACATGGCCCAGCACATACTGGACAAACATTTACAGAACTTGATTTGTGATCAAAGATTCTATTGGTCAAATAAGTCAAAAGAAGACAAGTGTGTTGGAGGTCAGTCTTCAGAGCTTTATGATGTCCAAATAGAGGAGAAAGGAGAGGCAGAAACAGGAGCTAGTGGCAAGGACTCTGGATAAGCAGAAACAGCCAGGATCCAGAAAGTTCTGAATAAACACACACAAGATACTTATGGCCAAGGATAAGCCCTCAGTGAAGAAACTCTTCATCCCAGTTATGCCCCTATGCCAGACTTTTGGACTTGAGCTTCTATAGCGCGTTTCTAGTCTTCTGACTACTCAAAGGGCTTTAACACTGTAGGTCACACCTACACATTCACACATGATGATGATAGAGGCTGCTGTGTAAAGTGACCATCAGAAGTAACTAATTCCATTCATACACATTCACACACTGATGGTAGAGGTTGCTGAGTAAAGAGTCCATCAGTATTAACTCATCCATTTATACACATTCACACACTAATGGTAGAGGCTGCTGAGTAAAGTGACCATCAGAAGTAACTAATCCATTCATACACATTCACACACAGATGGTAGAGGCTTCTGAGTAAAGTGACCATCAGTATTAACTCATCCATTCATACACATTCACACACTGATGGTAGAGGCTGCTGAGTAAAGAGTCCATCAGTATTAACTCATCCATTCACACATTCACACACTGATGGTAGAGGCTGCAGAGTAAAGTGACCGTCAGAAGTAACTAATCCATTCATACACATTCATACACCGCCGACAAAGTAGCGGGAACAATTTGGGTTTTAGTGTCATGCTCAAGGACACATCGTACAAGTTGCTGCAAGAGCTGGGGATCCAACCCCTGACCTTACAATTGAGAGACCACCAGCTCTACCACTGAGCCACAGCCACACCGAACACATGGCTCTTGGTTAACCAGTTAGGTAGTGACAACACCAACACTACCTGCCCCCACAACCCAGCCATGTAGACCAGTCTAACTTATTGGGTCAGGGGCTTGGTTTGTTTGAATGAGGCTGGGCTATTTTTTTGCCAACATCAATAGGGCCTAACACACACATGTATTTTCTGCTTGTGGATTTACTGTTTTAAAATAATTAAATATACGTAGGTTACATTTACCAATTTGTGAGCATTGAATGTTAACACTCCCAAAAAAATGACTTTCATTGGCCTTTGCAGGGTGTGAACAGTGAATTGATGGTTGTGATTGGTTTCAGTCTAAATAACTACTGGATGAAAAGGTGATTGTGAAGGTTTTCAGTCATCCAGGCCATGGTAATTTGAAGCTTGATCCAAAGCAGCTGGACTTGGTTGAAGATTTTGAAGGACTGTACCTTTTGTGGCTTACTTGAATTGAATACCTCTCAATGATTTCTACATTTCACTTAGCAAACGGTTTATCCAAAGCGATGTACATCAGAGAGTAAGTACAACACAAGCAAGGATCTAAAAAAGAGGGAACAATGTCAGTAAAAGCAAACGATCAGCTTTGAGTCCGATTGGACACACAGGTGCTGACAGGAAGTGACCAGAGGCAAAGCACAACATTGAGGGCAGTTCTTGAGAGCTCTAATCAGTACAGAAACCATCTTACAAGTCGTCGTTATCAAACAAAAACCATCGTCACAACCATCATCATAATCAATAATATGGAGACCATCATCATTGAGTTAGTAGTTAAGTCATGAGTTCACTTGATAGTTCCATTTTAGTTTGAAGAGCATTGATGGAACTGCTCTTGGACACATGACAGCATGGTACTCTACGTGCTACATACTACGGTGAGCGTATTGCATCATTTCCTGTTCTGTTCAACACAGAGTTCAGACCAGGAGGCAGAGCTGCAGTCTTACACGCTTCTCTGTGCCTCTCTTAGACCTGTCTCCCAGTCACTAGCTGTAATTCTGAATCTAACTGTAATTATACGATAGGTACTGTCTGTCTGGAGGTAGAGCCTTTAGTTATCAGGCCTGCTCGTGGTACCTACGGTCTCTAAATGTACTATGGGAGGTAAAGCCTTCAGTTATCAGGCCTGCTCGTGGTACCTACAGTCTCTAAATGTACTATGGGAGGTAAAGCCTTCAGTTATCAGGCCTGCTCGTGGTACCTACGGTCTCTAAATGTACTATGGGAGGTAAAGCCTTCAGTTATCAGGCCTGCTCGTGGTACCTACAGTCTCTAAATGTACTATGGGAGGTAGAGCCTTCAGTTGTCAGAGCTGCTTGTGGTACTTACAGTTTCTAAATGTACTATGGGAGGTAAAGCCTTCAGTTATCAGGCTCCTATTCTTTGGAATCATCTTCCAGCCGAGGTCTGGGAGGCAGACACACTCAGTATTTTTAAGATTGGACTTAAACTTTCCATTTTGATAAATCTTATAGTTAGGGCTGGTGCTGGTGTAGTCCAGCTCCTAGTTATGCTGCTATAGGCTTAGACTACCAGAGGAACTGGCACCTTGAGCTCTCTCTCTCTCCCTTTCTCTGTCTCTCTCTCTCTCTCTCTCTCTCTCTCTCTCTCTCTCTCTCTATGTCTTTGTGCAAATACAGTACATCATATTACTGCATGTCTATCTGTAAATCTCAGTCACTAACCACATATTTTCCTGGGAGCTCCTGAGCTCCGTGGGATCATTTGTGGACGGCCTGTCTGAACAACACATTGATTGGTTGATGGAGAAGGGAACCTGTTGAATTCTCTCACTGAGCAGTTGGTACTGTACCATTTTTGAAGCAAGTCCAGTTTCCTTTGGATCACTCTTCAAATTAATCAATTAGCTGGCAGACTTGATTTATGTTTGACACCCCAGGTGTAGACAGATGGGCAGCAAGAGCCAAGACATCACCAGGGTTATCAAGTTTGCCCCAGGACCACTCTGGAAAGTTTGTAATTTTGAGTTATGGTATCAGATCAGTGCATTGACCAGCGTACTCACAGACTGAATATTTGTTGTTTATTTATTGATTAAATAGTTTTATGCTTGTAATAAATAAAACTCATTGTGTCTTACTAACACAGTTAACATGACATTGTGTCAAGCTGGTCTTTACTTATTGTATAACTTGCTATTATTTCAGGTATGTAAAATAAATGACACAAATACATGCAGGTGTAATGATTATTTTGTGTTGTCTTCTGATTGCAGGATGCTTATTACGGGTTAAAGGTTTTCAGTGAAATCAACCTGGACCTGATCTGACCGTGGTCGCTCTGCATCAGGATCTTTTGGTCTCCTTTTCTCTACCAAAGACACTTTAGACACTCTACACAAAATGACACAAGTAGATAATAGTCTTTCTCACTCTACATTTTATGTTTATTACAAGGAAACAACGTGACAGGAAGAAGAGAAGATATCAGGAGAGAAGAAGGATCCTTACACTTTAACTTTAAAGTAAAATGTCATAGCTTCTCCCAACTTACTGGTTCTTATGTCAGCAACAAAACATTATTCAGTACATCTGTCAGGATGAGTTCACTGACTAACAGCTGTCTCTTTATACTGACCTGTTTAACACTTGAAGGATGCTGAAATGATGGAGGAAATGAAAAGACCTAGGGTGAGGGGAAGAAATTAAAAAATGTACTAGAAAGGAGTGCAAGTATAAATTGCTGATGATGGTTTATCAACTTAAGGACAGGACTGAAAGGGAACATTTAGAAATGTGCACATTTATAGGAGCTGAGGGACTCCCAAAGTTAGTAATGCTGCCCTTAAACATCACAGAAGAAGAGGAAGAAGTAGGGTGCGTCTGAGTTGTGATTGTTGCTCAGGAAGGTTCTTAACTGAGTGAAATGAAGCATTTAAGGTGCACCCATGATAAGAGCTTTATAACCTCCTTTAGCTTAGAATACAATGGACCATCCTTTTTCAAAGGAGATGAGATATGCCGTCCCACAATTCCTTGCGCTTTTTGTAGTCCATTTTCTGAACATTGTAGTTGCAACACGGCGGACCCACGTCATTATTTTCTGAATTTCCCTCAGGGATTAATAAAGGATATCAAAAAACTTACCTCCGCCGGCCCGTCGCAATTAATTTCATCGCATAGTGGAAATGTTTTCGGATTGTCAGAGCAACGAGATCGCCTTTCCCTAAGTCCTTTATGAATTTTTTGTTTTTGTATTGTTTCAAGACAAAGACATTTACAACACAAGACAAACTGTACATCTATGTACAACTGTTTACATGGAGGTATCAAAAAAATAAAACCAAAACAGAGAAACAGGGTTACAGTAATAATTTCTCACAAATATCTGGGTTTTCTTTGTTTTTTTTGTCTTTCAGTCCAAGTAGTGTGTGTAGGTAGTGTTCCATTTCTATTATGAATTGTTATATTTTGGGTGTTTTCTGATTCCATTTACATTTGTAAATAAAATATTTCCCATACAAAGTAAACAAGTTTAACATGAATAATTGTTCACTGTCAGTCCCACTCTTGATATAAAAAAGATGATGTGCTTTTCCTTTAATTGAACGTTAAAACCAGTCTTTGTTTTAAAGAAGAGCTCTAACTCGAACCAAAATAAACAAATATGCAAACATTAAGAAAATAAATGAATGTTGGAGCTATTTAATTGTGGTTAGAATTAGTTTTGGTATTTAGTTTACTAATATTTTGGTGGTGTTGTTTATTTAATTATACTACAAGTTTTCTTTATTTATGAGTAATGTTTTCTTTTTTGATAGTTATTTGTTTCGTAAATTTAGTTTTGTATTAGTATTTTTGTTAGGTATTTGGGTAATACTGTTGGCACCGGAGATTATTTAAGTAAGAGGCAGGTAGAGGACCAGCATGCACCTGGGTGGGCCTATTGTTTTTTACCAGAGCAAGAGAGCCACAATTTTCTTTGTTCTTTTGTTTGTTTTCTTCAAATAAACCAGCAAAATACCGCAGCTCTTACATGGGCATTGGATTTCGTTTGCCTGCGTACATCACATCCCCATGGTGCATCAGTGGTCATTTGATTATTTTTTAGATAAGTTTATTTAGATTTCTTTGTTGTTTTTTTTGGACAAATAGCCACTACAATGAACAATGCTTTAAATCTTGTCATTAGAAAAAACACAACCACCCTCCTGCTCTCTGAATCTTGCGATTATTTGGTTTACTGGATAAATTGAATGTATAATTTTAAAGGCAACTTCTTTAATTTTATTTTTTAATAAAGTTTTAACAAAACTTTTGCATCTTTATAAATATGGCCATCAGTATTAAGCTTTTAAGGAGGAGAGTTCGGCATTCCTTTTTTCCAAGTTCAAAAAATATTTTGTGTTCTTTTCTCCTTCCTCCATCCATGTCCTCCTAGAAGGTACAAACGCTCCTCTAGCCTTATCTTCATGAAGTTGGTCTAA